ATACTGAGTCTCCAGCCGAGTGGGAAAAAATAATGCATCAATGCAAACTGTGTCTTTTTTTTAACCAGCAAGCCTTGAAAAACTATTTACGGCAGTTATTTTTTAATTACTAGTCAGTAGGCAATAACATAAAATGGACCAATGACACACCGTAATCTATTGTCAATTATCTGTATGTGTTAAATGTTCAATATTTTTGTTACAAAATCTAAAAATCATAAAAATGTATCCAAATTGTTAATTAATTGACCCAGTAATCACTTTCATAATCATTAAAAAAAAAAATAATAATAACATACTGAACACAGTCGTTTATTCCTGCTTCAGCAATCGGGCTCAGTACCGGGTCGCCCGTCCGCAGAGTCCGCTCTTCTAAGTATATTTGACTCTGAACTCGACTCAAAGTGGCTGGACATTGTACCTCTTGCATACGGAGCTGCTGGTTTCTGTACATTCGTTTGATGAACAGGAAAGCGAAGATGAACATAGTGATGGTTGATATCCCAATGAAGGTGAAGGACAGCGCGTATACCCATGTAGAGCTGTACCACAGGCCATGAGGATTGGCCACTACGATCTCCACATACACATCTGAGCCATTCTTAACCAGGTTAGCCATTTCTTTGCCTAGAATATTGCCAACCATGATGGCAACTATGTCATCGGCACCTGTAGAAATAAAACACTGCAATGTTAACTATGACCACTGCTTTTAAGATCAACAGCACATGTAGAAGACTCTAATATCAAGTTCATGCATGTTGTTGGATTCTTTGTGCATAAAAGTTTTTGTAATAACCATTGTAATAATTTTGAAATATATCTATATATATATTCTCAGTTCATTTATTTTTGGCAAGTTGTGCTGGAATGATCTGATTCAGATCATGTAACAACATATCATAATTACAGAGGTCTGAACTCTGTCTGTCTAAAACGTACAGATATCTGAAATATATCACGCTCGCTGACGATGCAAGCAGGGATGAGGATCTAAATGCAGGAATTTATTGACTGAAGCAATACTGCAAACACAGACCCTGGGGGCACGAACCACGTGAACCATAACATCAAACAACTGACAAAACACAAGAGAAACTACATAAGCAGAGCAGAACCAATGAACTAATGAGTAACCGTGGAAAAACAGGAGGTGAACAAGCAACAAAGGAAACACAGAACTATAAAATAAGAGTCCATGACACAGACACAGAAAACGCAGGCAGGGATCGTGACACAATAATACATTACTGTGACTGCACTTTTATCTGTTATATGTTTTATGTTGTTGAGAAATGGTCAGGTTTAAGGTAGTGGTAAAAAATGTTTATGAAAGTATAAAGATATAAATAATTTTAGACATATATTTATTAGCCAGTTATAAAGATAAGAAACACATAAGGCAAGCAATAGGCGTAATAGGGTAAGGCGTTGTTTAATTTTTGACAGGAATGAAAACAAGGCTGTGAGGTACAGAAGTACAGTGCGTTCAATGGATTGTGCTATAGTTTAACAACATACCTGTCAGACTCTGGGCCAGGTTTTGTGTGTGTCTTTGCTCCCTATGTGCTCCGTCTTCCAGTTTCTCTGTCTCGTGTTTTGAATTCTTTGTTCCCAGGTGTTTCCTATGTTGATTGTCTTATTAGTTCCAGGTGTCCCTTGTCTTCCCCTCATCAGTTCCTGTGTATTTAAAGTGTGTTCTAGTTCTTGTCCTTTGTCAGTCGTTGAACGTCATCCTGATGTGTCGAGTCCTGTGATCCCCAGCCTTTGTTAATAAAACCCTTTTGATTTATTCTACTCCGTGTCTCCTCGCTCCTTCGTTCCCGTGTTCCTCGTGTGTGTGCACCGTGACAATACCGACCGTTCAGTTGACAAAACGTCAAAAGAAGAAAAAAAAAACCTTCATAAAACAGTTTTGAAAGTTGTTGTGAAAATGACCTTTATTCAGTGCGTGCCATTGTAAAGTCTGTAAGTCTGTCCCTCACAGGCTCGTTTTCATCCACGTTAAATGCAATATGGAATCTAACCTAATTAAGGTCTATTAAAAAAATGAATTTCCCAGTTCATTGATATAGCGATGTCTTCACAGCCTGATACTCACACGCAAGGCACTCGACCGTGCTTCAGTTTTTGATGCCTTAGGAATGAGAGCAAGCTGTAATTTAAAGCAATTATTTGTTATTGCTCAATTTTTAATCCTATCAATAAAGCAAGCTAATAGCAGCATCAACATCAACAACCTGTTTAGGTCACTGGCTTAATGGCCAGTTTATAAAATTTTTCTTATTTTGTATTTTGTTTTTCAACCTCTTGACTGTCATACATTTGAGATTTCAATGCTTTCTTACTGTATGGAAAGGTTACACTTTATTTCGATAGTCCACTTTAGACATTCTACTAACTATAAGTAACTTTGTAACTACATGTCAACTACATGTCAACTAATTATCATTAATTTGCAACTACATGTGTACTAACTCTCAGAGTAGACTGTTAGGGTAGGTTTAGGGTTAGTAGAATAAGTTGACAAAGAAAGTGTTAGACGATATTAAGCAGACAGTCTACTAATACTCTACTAACTGCTAGTTGACATGTAGTTGCAAAGTTACTTACTGTTAATAGAATGTCTAAAGTGGACTATCGAAATAAAGTGTTACCTATGGAAATTATGTCATTTGATGTATTTTATATCTATTAAAGCATTTTACTAAATGCCTAAGGATGCATTTGATTCTTTAGAAAATACAATTTACTCAAGGATGATGTCATTATGATGATGTTATATAATAGCATGTTTTCTGCACCTCATAAACATCTTATATAGTTGTTTCCTCATGCTGTAAGGCACTCCAGCACAATTTTCTGTGAAGCTACTTTGAAACAAACCGACTTGGATTATCAGTTAGAGAAACTCTCATACCTGAATGGGCCATCAGGTCAGTGTTATTGCCCGTCCCATCTATGTTGTAAATAACCACCGCCGAGGCTCCTTCTCGCTGAGCAGCTCGTATCTTCTGTGAATATGTACAGTTCCCTTTTTATATCAGGGCAATCCATGGCTGGTGTTTCGCGGTGAAAGTAGTGTTCCTCGAGCATGCCAGAGGATCTGAATTTGGAAGCACTAGCAGCCCAGAAGCTGAATCCAAGGGTGAGTCTGCTCCAAACATGCCACACTCACAATACTGCCCACAGTTTCATTAGATACGCTGTCAAAGTATCTGACTTCAACATAAGCAGTCCAGTAAATCAAGGAAGCACTTAGTTGGAAGCAATACTGGAAAACTAGCACCGACAACCAGATACATGAACGTCCATGTACTGCTCTAAGCTTCAGGTTCGCTTTCATTGCACCAGGTAAACACGCCTGTGTTTTGGCATTACTCTGTTGCCATCAAAAGTAATCAGATGCCTTCTTGAAGATAATATAAGACGTTTTTTTTCTTTACGTCAGGTGAGGTGTTCTTATCACAGTGGACCTTGGACGTTGGTTAAGATAATATTAATTTCAAAGGGTTGGGTTTAAAAAAAAATTTCCCCCTTCAGGAAACTGTTGCCACTTTAAGCACTCTGTAGGTGTCACAATATGGACCTTGTTTCTGTGTTTTCTGTGTTTCCCTTCTCTCCCGCCTAGTTTATTCCCCTGATCTAGTTTCCCCGTTTGTGTCCGATTGTGTCATTCTGTCCAGGTGTGTCTAGTTTGGTCTGTGTATTTAAGTGGCTCCCTTTCTGTTCATTATTGTTGGGTCTTGAACGTCTACCTCGACAGAGCTGAGGATTTCCCTGGAGCCAGAGTCTCATTCGACGTCTGACCAGGTGTGGGAGCCAGCAACGAAGCCCGCCATGGAGGATTACACAGTGGAGTGTGAGGGTGCCACCTTTCCACCTATGGAGCTGATTTGCTTCGGGTCTGTCAGTCTCCAGCCTTTGTCAAAGTTTATTGGATAACATATTTGAAGTATTGCATTCTAGATTTAGAAAATATCATTTGTTCTACAGAGACTGAGTTGGTAAAATTTTTAAATGATGTGTTCTTGACTACTGGCACTGGTTACCCCGTAGTTCTTGTTCTTTTTAGATCTTAGTTCTGCTTTCGGACACAGTGAACCATAACATTTGTATTACTCAATTTGAGAAGTGTGTTGGTATGAGATTAAATACTCTAAACTGGTTTAAATCTTATTTTAAAGACCGAAGCTTCTCTGTGAAGTTTGGAGAATGCTCCTCAAGCTCAGCTATGCTGATGCGTGGTGTCCCACAAGGATCGATTCTTGACCCAATTCTGTTCTCTGTTATTGTCGTCATGCCTTTGCTCCCGTACGTGCAGACGCATGCCCTCAGTGCTTCTGTTTTAAGTAACGTAGCATGCCTTCCTCTTCTCCACGAATTGCCAAGTTTGTTTTCAATCATTTGTGTCCATGTTCCAAACAGAACTGTAGGTTCACAAGGACATCGTAAGTATGAACGAGGAAGATGAACTGCCATGATCATCACCGGTTTGTTGTGTAGTCAATCTCAGCAGAGATCACCACAGATGATGCAGAAGTCTTTTACTCAAGCATGGCATACAAAACTTTCTCTCTCCTACATGTCTACTCCCCAACATGATACAACTCCCCCTAGTGGGCATTTCCCGTCAAATCATGTATTTGAGTTAACGCTTCTCTTTACTTGGTTACAAGAGTGCAAAACATGCAAGCATCAAAGTCTGTCTCTTTGAATGACAAAGTTCTGTGTAAAGGTTAGTGACACTAGAATGTCCAGTGTGAGCAGTGATCAATGAATCATCAGTGATTCTCGTAACATTTATTGCTGTTTAGTTTTTGAATAAAAAAAAAGGGAGAGGCAAAAGTGAGGAATTCCATTTTCTTTATTAGCAGACACTGCAACATTAGAGAGTGTACATCATAACCTGCAGACTTCAACACGTCAGAATCACATGGTAAAAAAATTACTATTTGCATGAAAACATTTAACAAGCTGCCATTAACCTTTAGATTTTATTTTTTGCAAGGGACAGTGAAATATATCCGCTCTCTTAAATCTCTGCTTACAGGTTGTGATCCCCCACTGTTATTAATAATACACCAAAATCTAGGACAAATGATTAAACAAAAAGACGATTTCCCTCAGCCGTGTTTTAAGAACTTGATGACGTCTGATTTTTCTAGACCAAATAAGTTATCAATAACAATAAATGGCATTTAAAAATACCTTTAGTGTGGCATTCTCACAGAAACAATCACTGCAAATCTACAAGGTGCTCAGCATTTAGCTTCAGTTTGTGCTAAAAATCCATGCTGATGCTTATAAAACCATTGATAAAAATATTTCTCTGTGAACAATATGCCTTGGAGGTTGACAATGACACAACACTGGGAATGATGAGGAGCTGCGACGACAGTGTTGATGAGAGGCAAGAGTGCTACTCAGACTTCGCTTCCTTCGTTTCTTTTTGAGTCTGTGTGACCTGAGGATGGTTGAGAGGAAGAAATCATCAAGAATAATGATTTTTTTCATGTCAAAAGATAGGAAGAATATGCTAGTGTAACAGCATTCCAATTATTTTATTCCACACAGTCAACACAAAATGAAAAGTAAAATGAGCTTATAAAAAAAAAATACCGTGACTCTGCAGTGTTTCTATGGACAGTCTAATGTGAAATGAGATTATAACACACCGCTTTGGTCTTGGCCTCTCAATTTTCAGAGTGGTTCTCCTCGCTGGCTGCAGACTCTGAGCTCTCCTTGGCCTTCACCTTGGTCTTTTTATCCTCCTTTTTGACATTGGCTGCTTTGTCTTTCTACAGAGGAAGTGAATCATTGGCAGCAATGTGTAAGAATATTTGCACATGTGTAAACTCTCAATAACAGTACTTTGAACGCTGTAGCACACAATTTATTTATTGTACATTGTGTATGCTTAATATGCCTATTGTGATTTTGCCTGTGAACATGCTGCAAACTCACTTTGCCTATAAAATCAACTAACTAACTAACTAACATTGTTCTAATTTAAACGTTTTATTGCTGGTTTGTTAGGTATCTGTTTTTACCTTATCTGTCTTTTTTGGTTTGGGTGCAGTCTTCACAGGAGCGGGTCTCTATGAATGAAAAACACAGCTGAGAAGTAAAATATACTTGATATATATAGACATTGTTCAACTGACATTATAAAACAAAGACAGAAGAGACAAAATGGGAATCGTTAAAAAAATTATGAACGTTATACTTTAAATGAAAATGTTTTTTTCTTAGGTGCACTAAAATATAAAATTCCAGTATTGAGTGTATTTACTATATTTTCTAGAGTAAGATTTCTTTTAAATGAAGATTATTATTTTGATTAATGATTTATATATTTATATTAGGTTTGGTGGGGAATTTTAGATATACATAATTCCTGTAACCAGTCTATTTAACAACCTTTTTTAAGCACACACACACACACACACACAGGCACACAGACACTCACAGACACACACAGACACACACACTCACACTCTCACACTCTCACACTCACACACTCACACACTCACACACACGCACGCACACGTGCACACGTGCACACACACGCGCACACACACACACACGTCTGGTTTGCTATCCTTGTAGGGACTCTCCATAGGGGTAATGGATTTTCTACTGTACAGACCCTATATTCTATTTCCCTACACCTAAACCTACCCCTTACAGGAAACTTTCTGCATTTTTTAAAAATGGCAACATACGTACTGCCGATAACCGTGCAGATCTCCTCTGAGGCTGAAAAGACGACACATACAAGTAAAAATGTGCACACAACTGTAACTAAAGGGGAAATATTTAAATAAACAAATAACCTAACAAAGTTACCAAGTGACATTTTATCAGTTTAAATATGAAAATATTTTTACCTCATCCTTTGCATCCCTGTCTGCTTTCTGTGAAAAAAAAAAAAAAAAAAAACTGTGAGATAAAAAGTCGTAATTAACTTTTTATTATTTAATCTCAGAAATAAAGAAAATGGCAGAAACAAGCTTCCATATATATATATATATATATATATATATATAAATAAATATATATTCACATATATAAATTCTCCTTTCATATATAAAACCAATAAAGGAACCCAGTGGCCAGTATAAGTAAAATGAGTAAACTCAGTGGAGTTGAGTTCAGCTCAACCATCCCTCATTAATAGCACAACCAACCCCTGTGTGAGCTGTGAGAGGAGGAGCTGACAGCGCCATCTGTCGGCACATGAGCGCTATCATCTGCTCACGAGAACAAAGACTATAAAATAACAACACCGCTATTGTCTATGTGAGTGTGTTCTCCATCAGCGAAGTCTTTAACATTGCACAGGTCATATTTCCTAGGAGTGGATGTTTCGTGGTTGATTTTATGAGTTTCTTCATGCACAGCATGGCTGACTAATCTAGCGATGGAAAGCACAAAACAAATTTGAGCGCGCAATCCAACACACTGCGCAAAACATGCACGAGATATGCGATTATGAGAAATATGCGAAGCGGATTCAGTGTTAAATATGTTAAATGTATGCAGATCTATACTTTGCAATGCAGTGAATAAATAAACCACATTAATCGGACTCTCAGTTCCGAACGCCACCCTGATGCAGGAGCCAGGAGTGTGTGTGTGTGTGTACCTTTCTTTTAGGCATGTTGGGCTCCTAAAGAGATTCTGCGAAACACAGCTGCTTTAGAAGAGATCTCGGCATATATGTGCTCGGCTCACTACACTAAACACAGTATTAAACACGGAGGAGCGTTACAGCCAGGGTTGCCAGGTTTTCACAACAAAACCCGCCCAATTGTTACTCAAATCTAGCCCAATCGCATTTCGAGGGGGACTCCCCGTTAAAATTCGCGTTCCGGGGGGTAAAATGCACGTTTCTGGCGGGGTTCCCCTGGTAAAATTCGCACTCCAGGGGATAAATATCACGTTATCGGGGTCGCTTTAACCGCGGACATGAAAAACAACCCGCGGCAACAGTGATAAAGCAGCCCAATACCGCGGACTTGGCAACACTGGTTACAGCGCATGACTGAATGGGGCGAGGGGAGTGGCTTAGGCCTGATTGATGCCTAGTTAGACCAATCAGCGCTGAGAACTGAGAGCCGAGCACGAAGAGCCGGTGTTTGTGAAAAATGTCGACAGTCCCATAAGAAATGTTGACGGAGTAAACTTAATGTGTGCGTCTTTATTAGTATACTTTTAACGAGGCACAACAATCGGCAAACCTTTGAGTTTTTTGCCATTTCAGCGCCGTTTAGTCACGGGGTGATTTATTTCTGCGAGTTCTGTACTCAAGATGGCGCCCTGCAGTCGAGACGGGTTTTAGGGCTTGTTTGTTTAGCAAGCCTGCAGGTGATTAAGACACAACAAACAAAAAAGAGCAGCTCTGTCATTTTGTGACAGTTATTTGCTGGAAACCATTCACACACACACACGTGTCACAGAAAAGTGCGCATTTTCAACTAAGACTCCAATATGAACTCAAGGAAAAGTGTTCATCATGACAACACTCACATATACCACAGAGTGATCGAGCGATCTTAATCATACTGAGAGTCACGCGGTGAAATTCATATCTAGCGCAGCAAGTTATTGCTATAAGTTGTTTTGAGAGAGCTGCGCATGTCTGAGCAGTCAGTCCTGTTTCATCAGAAGCTCGTCTTTGATTCTCAGCTCGGCTGTTTCTGATGAAGCAGGAAGAGTTCGGCAGAGGCGGGGAATGAGGAGAGAGAGACCGAGAGACGGGCCAAAACAAGAGTTTGATCGCTATTTGCTGCTCTGTGACACCCGAGGAACCTGACACTATGGTGATTAAAGTTTACATCGCGACATCCTCCGGATCGACATCGGTAAGCACTTCAGATGATCTGAGCCTCGCGTGCGACTGGAACCAGACATCCTTAGGAACACGACAAAATACAACAACAAACCGTGCAAGAAGAGTCCGCAATTATTGTCATTTTAACTATTTCTATGATGGCTTTGCTGACGCATATCAAATTACCAGAGTTTTAGTGTAGTAACTACAATAACTGTGGCACTAAATACTGAGACATTTTGGCGGAAATTATGGTAATCACGGAAATGCTTGGTTGTGTCTTTATTATAGGTAGTTTGAAAACATGTATTAACAAATGCAATGTCAGCACTACTGCTAGAGACTACAGTAGTCTTTTGTTCTCATGCAAATTTCACAGAGAAAAGCACAGTCACTGCAAACTCTAAATATGGTGTTGAAGTTGACAGTTAATGTAACCACTTTCTCAGACTGGAAATAATCCCTTCTGCTCAAGATTTATCCAAAAAAAGAAAAAAACATTAGGTGCATTTAACTGGACTAGGAACTGCATGAGAACGGACTCAGAATGGCCATTCCAGTTTAGCTGAGTATGTTTTATTTGCATCCTAACTGTTGAAAAGTTAAATAGCAGTATTTAGGTGTGTATCTAGAGGGAGCTCTTCCTCCAGCAGCTCATTCGGCTCGAACTCTTCCTAATTTGGTGAGTTAGAGCAGTGGTTCCCAACCCTGGTCATGGAGGCACCCCAACACTGCATGTTTTGCATGTCTCCTTAATCAAACACACCTGATTCAGGTAATCAGCTCATTAGTAGAGACTCCAAGACCTGAAATTGGTGTGTCGGAGAAAGGAGACATGCAAAATGTGCAGTGTTGGGGTGCCTCCAGGACCAGTGTTGGGAACCACTGAGTTAGAGAATACCGTTGTGCTCCACATACTGTAAGTTATGTAACATTGGAATGATGCTCCTGACTTGTCCATACTTCAGCCACCAGTGGAAAGTGGTTTTCTTCTGAAATGAGAAGGCAAAGTCCTTGCTCTTTTTTTTTTTTTTTAGTCCATTGCAAATAAATCTTCTGATTTCTTTCTATGTTGACACAGTTTACGTGTTACATGATGAACAAGCAACCAATGTTTCCGAGATGTTTCATCAGCTGAACAATCAGTATGTTGTTAAACAACAGTACAGCCTATTGAACACACTGTACTTCAGTCCCTCACAGCCTCGTTTTCATTCCTGACAAAAATTTAAAAATTGGTGCTACTCTGTCTATGAGTAGAGACACTAGTCCTAAAATGGATTGGTCTGATAATGGAGACATAAAATGTGAGATATAAAATATGCCCATGTGTTTCCAAAAACAGGGTTGGGAAACACATGGACTTGAATTTCTAGTGAAATTGCTTGAATTTCTAATTAGTCCTTCTATTTCCACCAAACTGACCCATTCAGGCTGATTTGTGGAGCATAAAAATAGTAATAAGCAAATCATACTGTAATCGAGACACTGCCTCTTTTTGCATAGTTATGCGCAATTACCAGCCATCAAAGTCACACCACACCTTGGGACAGCTGAACGAGCTGATCAAGGTGTTCAGGATCACTAGACAGTCACAGACAGGTGTGTTGAATCAGGGTTGAAGCTGAACTCTAAAGGAATATGGATCTTGAGGGCCAGAGTTGAGGGTCCTGTCACATAGGCTCTATAAGAACTCAATGATGAGACTGCCTCCCCCTGAATCTCCATAGGTGTTTGCTGTCAGAAAGTGTTTCTTTAGAAAAATCTGTGCTTTATAGACTGCTTGGTGTCATACTGTTTGGCAAATTATTGGCAAAATTGGTTTTCAAACTTTTTTTCTTTTTAAATTGATGTGATCCATATATATATATATATATATATATACACACACACACACACATATACACAACTTACTGAATCTGCAAAATGTTCACAAATCATGAACATCGTACAAATCGTTGCAAAGCAACTTTACAGAAAATTAAGTTTCTACAATATTTAGTGGTAGCTTATCAGTGGTTACTGTCAGTTAATGTACATATGGCAGAAATGTACGGAAAATCAATTAAAGACGTAATCAAACAGATGATGAACACTATTAACTTCACATCATAACAAAAATAAACACCGGTATTCGGTATGAACTGGTATACTGCCCAGCACTAGTTGGCATCATCTTTCCCCAGGTGTTCTGGATCCAGACTGAAGCTTGTGTAAATCCTAGTTACAATGGGATGTCAATCCCAGCAGGAACAGAGAAACAAATAGAGACATAATTAGCGTAGCTCCTGTTCCAACCAAGCAAAATTGATTTGTTTAACCCAAGCTAAAGAATAATAATGTGCATTTGATCAGATATTACTGGTGATAATTGAGATGACTCTCCATTTAAATAAACAAAGTGGCAAATTTTACAAAGAAAAAATTGTGTTGTTCCCTTTCTGTCATTCACTTCGACGTTGTGTCAAGTGTACGACACTAGGGGTGCCTCTCTGGAGCCCAAACACCTCTGACATCATTGAAAAAAAGGCAATGAAATTGGTGAGCAAAATTTGCATTGCTGGCCGTACCCCGGACATCCGGGTATAAATAGGCAGTGCAGAATTGGCTCACTCGTTCTGTTTTTTGGAGCCAAATGCATCGTTTCTCTGTGAGAAGCGGCACTCATTCACCTCTTGATCTTCTCGTCATTGGATCTACAGCACAGGCAGCGTTCTCTTCCTTCTCATACACAGCTAAGTGTTGTGAGAGTACCCCTGGGTGCTTCAATGGCGATCTTTAAGAGCAAATTTCCTCATAAAACAGTAAATTCTCTAAAAGAGCTTCACGGGGGGAACTGTGTGTGTCAGCAAACATGCCCCTGGGCCTACGCAAATATGCATTTCCCCCAGTGAACCTCATTTCACAGACGCTGTGCAAAGTCAGGGAAGACAAGGAACAACTATTGCTTGTGGCACCATATTGGCCCAACAAGACTTGGATCTCGGAGCTCGTGCTACTGGCATCAGCTCCTCCCTGGCAGATTCCCCTGAGGAGGGACCTGTCTGGCACCCGCACCCAGATCTCTGGAACCTCCGTGTCTGGTCCCTGGACGTGACCAGGAGGAATTGAAAGTGAAAATGTGGCATCGGATCTGTTCTGTCTTTCCTCCGAGAGGGTCTGGACAGGCACCTATCTGCCTCTACCCTTAAGGTGTAAGTGACCGCTATTGCGGCAAACCACAACACTAGGTGGCATGAAGACGGCCTTTCTGACTGCACTCACTTCTATCAAGAGGGTGGGGGATCTCCAAGCCATCTCCGCCAGCGAATGTTGGAGAATGAGGTCTTAAGTCTTTGGTATTGGAAAGTTACGAGGAGGAGAGGTGCATTTGGTCATGACATGTTGGCTTGTCAACATCTGTGCCCCTGTGGTCTCATAACGCAGTTCAGCAGCTGTGGCGTTTAGTATAGGGACCCCCCAGTGTTATACACTCGACACAACAACGAAGTGAACGACAGAAAGGGATCGTCTCGGTTGCGTATGGTAACCCTCGTTCCCTGGTGGAGGGAACAGAGACATTGTGTCCCTTATGCCACAAATCTGAACTGCCTCTGAGTGGGTTGAAACGCTTCTCGACTCCTCTTTTTCAACATCTTCTGCATATTTGAACCCTTGCCAGCAGTGTCTGTATTTGAGATTCATAATAAAAAAATGTTGTTAACACTTTACTTGAAGCCTTTCCCAGAACAATATGGTTATATCCTTATTTTTCCGAAAAGGCTGTAACTCAACAAAAACTGATACTCACAAAACCTGATGCATGTGAAGTCCACTGTAAATAATAATGCTTTCACACATTAAATGTCCTCTGTTTGAGGGCTCTGTTTGTCCATTGATTTTAATGTGCGATTTAATCTTCTGTTTTCCTCAGATCAAGAAACAGCAGCAGGATGTCATGGGCTTCTTGGCAGCCAATAAGATTGAGTTTGAGGAATGTGACATCGCAGCTGATGAAGACAACAGGAAGTGGATGCGAGAACACGTCCCCGAGGATTTCCGACCGGCGACAGGGAACCCTTTACCTCCTCAGATCTTCAACGAGGACAGATACTGTGGGGTTTGTACTCATGATAGATATTATGTGCTGGGTAGTAGCTCACACACTACATAAAGCAAACATAATGGAATATTAAGTAATAATAATAGCAAAAAAAAAAAAATATATATATATGTGTGTGTGTGTGTGTGTATATATATATATATATATATATATATGATTTACTTTCTTCTGTAGAGTAGAAAATAATATATTTTTAAGAATTTCAGCTTTTTTGTCCATATTTGTCCATATTAACTTTCAAGCTCCAAAAAGGACATAAAGGTAGCGTAAAATTAATCGATATTACTAGACTGGTACATTATGTTTTCTGAAATAACACAATGACTTTGTATCCGTGCATTAGGTCCTAAAGTGGCAGCGGCCTAATATATAACTACTGCAGTATATAAATTGCCGTATTATGCTCATTTACAAGTTCATAATTTTTGGGGGATTAGAATATATTTACACGAGTTTAAAAAACACCATCTTTTTCTCGTACTGTACATCTCTGCAGCAGCTCTTTGTACTCTCTGCCTGAAACACTCGGTTTTAGTTCCTGTTTTAATCTAATAATATTAAAAAGAGAGAAAATCACACACTGTCCTTGAGTGAATAACATAAGTAGCTTCCATAAGGATCAATGTATATTTAATTCATACAGTGAAGACTGTGCAGTTTTATTTTTACATTAGATGATTCAATTTCTGCAGTGTTTTGTAATTGAATACTACTGTTAGAAAGACCTATCTAAAAAGTACTGTTTATCTTTACTGTATTTAGCCAATTGTTTGTAATTTGCTTCTTTATTCTTATGTTCAATAACAAAAATAAAACAAAATTATTATATTGTGATAACTATACGTTCCATAAAATAAAATTAATCATATCGTGAAATAAAATTTTGATCGTCATTTGGAGCATGAAAGTTTTGGCTCCCACTGACTTTAATAACACGAACATCTGAAACATTCTTCATAATATCTTCTTTTGTATTTCCCAGTAAAAAGAAAGCCGTACAAGTTTAGAAAGACATGAGGCTGAATAAATGGTGATAGAATTTTATTTTCCAGGTGAACTGTTCCTTTAACAACAGATTTAACCCAGAATATTCCTTATGATATTTTCAGGTTTAAAAACAAGTCATTTAGTTTACCCACCATAGATCAAGAAGTTCACAGATGACACTAATACTGTAAAAGCAATCGAAATGAATCTATTTCAGTCTGTTTTCGTTGAGCTGGACACATTTCTGTACAGGTATTTTTTACCAATATCATTTTAACTGGCGTCTGGTGTTTTGACTGATTCAAACCGACTCAAAGCCAGACCGTACGATTTGAGCAGTGCTTTCTTTTGCTTCTGTGCTCCAGAACTACGAGGCGTTCTTCTGTGCCCGTGAGGACAATGCTGTGTATGCGTTTCTGGGCTTGACAGCGCCTCCAGGCTCAAAGGTAGGTGTCTGAGGGACATAAAGGCTCCTTTATTTGCAGCGCACGTGTGCCGTGTGCGTCTACTCTAAGAATGTAGTGCTAAAGTCCCGTCTGATGTTGCACACACATGCTCTAGTCCTTCTTCTGCTGTACTGAACAGCTTCTCACTGCAGATTTGAACTGATTCAATGGCTTTCTGTGTGTTTCTTCACAGGAAGCAGAAGCGCTGTCTAAGAAAACGCAGATGTAATCTAGAGAAGCGGCTCTAGCAGAGCTGTAGAACTCCTGCACTTTCTGATGATTGAGTTTCTTTTCTTGTTGGTTCTTTTTTTTTCTTTCTTTGCACCCATTAAATGATGTGATGAATTATTTGTCCACTCAAAAGTCCATCTTATTGATTGAACTGTTCAAACTGAAAAGAAAGCATGTCTGCAGTCGTCCAAATAGACGAGCAAACTTGATTTTAATTATATTTAATCATTCCTCTAATGTTTAAGCATGCAGTTTTTGTTATGTTTATGCTTGAATGTTCTTGATTATGTTTGCGGTTCAAGTTACATTTAATACGTGCGCATATATTCAGGGTTTCTGGCGGTCTTAAAAACTCTTAATTTTACCTTTCACAAATTAAAGCCTTAAAAGGTTTTAATTCGGAGCAGAAAGTCTTACATTCATAAAGGCAGGGTGTTAAATGCTTCATGCGCTGCAAAAAAGTATAATAAAAGTAACAGAATAATTGATACACATATCTAAACATCCTTAAATTTACTTATGAAGTCTTGTTTCGGGAATCAACTTGTTTTTGCTTTGAATGAAGTTTATTTTTCTGAGCCCACCGGCAGATATTTGTCTCTTTTTTTTTTAATCATAAATTCACTTATTTTTTTTGTACATTTCTCAGAAAACAAGACATGCTATTTTTTGCATCTATGTTAAGAATCTTTTAGACATTTGCACTGGAAAACAAGACAAAAATACTGCGGAAGAACATCACTTTTGTGCAGTGTGATCAGAATACAGTAAAACTTGTATGTGATCAGGTACAGCAAAAGTTATTTCCATTTTAGTTTTTTTTTTGTTGGATAAAATGAAAAGTATTGAAGAACAGTTGGAAGTTGTATTTTCCAACTTTAAAGTGCTATCACAGCTCATTGTGTTCTCCTTATGCCGAGTTCACACTGCACGATTTTAGCCCGATTTGTCACTCGCCGACAGGTTTTGCGAAATCACCGACAAATGCCCGAAATCGGAGGCAAATCGGTGCTCGTTCACGCGAGTAACAATCACGCAGTGTGAATTATCAAAGATGCGATCTGAGGGAGTCGCCGACGCCCGTGAAATATTTGGCATGCTAAATATCTGGAGCTGTCGGCGATTCACAATCACGCTGTGTGCAATGAGTTTTGACTGAAAAACACATCGGCGATGACCTACAGCCAATGAGAGACCAAGATACAGGGCAGAGGGAAGTTCGGGGAGGAGTTACATGAAACGTAGTTTGCGGACCAGTGTTGCCAAATCCGCGATTGCCGCCGGTTGATTTTTATGTCAGCAGGTTGAAGCGACCCCAATAACGTGATATTTAGGCCCTGGAATGTGAGTTGTACCACGAGAACCCCGCCAAAAAAAAATGTTTATTTTACCCCCGAATTCGATTTTTACTGGGGGACCCCCTCGAAAGCAATTGGGCTATTTTCAGGCTAGTTTTGAGTAGTAATTGGGCGGGTTTTGTAACGAAAACCTGGCAACCCTGCACCAGACAGAGCTGTCGGCGATTCTTCCTATTGTGAAGTCATGCAGTGTGAAACCCCCTGTCGCCGATCCATCGTGCAGTGTGAACACAGCAGCAACTGAATGCTACCCCAGATAGTCACGCAGTGTGAAAACAACGGCGATCCGACGAGTTTGAAAATCGTGCAGTGTGAACTCAGCATTAGACACTTACATTTAGAGAACACGCTCCCTTCATTTTTTTCTAAAGTTTTTCTTTAATTGGGTCTTTAAAAAAGGTCTTAAAAACTCTTAAATTTACCTTCATAAAACTTGAAGAAACCCTGATGCTTAACTCAAGTCCATTAATGCGCCCATACATTTTCGTGATTTGTTTAATTTGTTTATTTCTTAAAGAAATGTTGGCAATTATAGTTAGCATTTTTCTATGTTTAAATATTATTTTTAGTTGTTTTTTTCATTATTTTTACTAAATGATTTATATGTTTCATACTGCACGTTTTGCCTCAAGTATCCTTCATGTGCTAATAGAGTTATTTTTCTATTTTTAAGGGGAAATTACTAAAACAATAGAAAACAAAAAGTGAGGCTACCTATTGCTGCTGCAGTTTTTTCCCCACTATTTTCAATGTGTAAGGTATACACAGTGGTCTGTTTCACCACTTGCCATTCTTTCAAATCATGAGCTCATGCTTTCATTACAGCTGTACATACTTTTCACATAAGATTATCGTAACGTGATGAGAACATCTGATATGAATCTATACTGTACAGTAATTTCCAGTACATTTGGCAGTCTCTACCATGGCAAGGCCACTGTTTACAGTATCACATGCTTACGTTAATGTACAATGCCTGTATTTGATGTGACAGTTAGCTGTCATCTATCTCCATCTCATCTGATTTGTTTGCTTACAGTCACTTCGGCACTAAATCAGAACATTGATGTAATTTTTCACTAAACTCACACCGTTCACACGTGTAACACAGTGTTCACATTGTGCTTTCATATCGCTAAAGAAACCTCGACCTTGCTGAACCATTTGTTCGATGAACTCATTAATCATCATGAAATACCATCGAAACATTCATTTAGATCACACACACATACTAGATACCGATAGATTCACTGTGTAGTTGAATGTACAATCATTAATTTTTTTTAATTGCTTTGCCGCAATTTCACAAGCAATTATATACACTGAACAAAATTATAAACGCAACACTTTTGTTTTTGCCCCCATTTTTCATGAGCTGAACTCAAAGATCTAAGACTTTTTCTATGTACACAAAAGGCCTATTTCTCTCAAATATTGTTCACAAATCTGTCTAAATCTGTGTTAGTGAGCACTTCTCCTTTGCCGAGATAATCCATCCACCTCACAGGTGTGGCATATCAAGATGCTGATTAGACAGCATGATTCAGCTCATGACAAATGGGGGCAAGAACAAAAGTGTTGCGTTTATCATTTTGTTCAGTGTATATATATATATATATCTATTCATATTCTATTAATCAACTTTTTTGCAAATTCCAGTGCAGATAACAAAAGTGATTTAACTTGGATGATGACTACTATGTTCCATTGTAAGGACCAAATAAGTACTAATCTCACAACAGATTGTCAAAAATTCTCTTTTTTCAAACATTTCAGCATATTTCCAAACGCATTGGTACAAAACACAAAATAACAAATCCTTTTCAATACACATACTATGCGTTTCATCTATATAAATATTTCATTCAGAGGAACTGTCTTTCATAATGTTATCAATATCAAACTTTTGACTGGCTTGATGATAGTTTTTTTTAAATTGCTTAGACACTAAAAGTGGTACTTGGTGAAAGCATTCACTCATATACCTAATCTTTAGACCAAGTCTGCAAAACTACAAGCACATTAAGCAAAACTCTAAACACAGTTCTTCACATCACACACACCATTAAAAACTAACGGCGCTTTTGTTTCATTTGGAAAACACTTCCATTTAAATGCCACACTAATTTACTGATGACCTACAGCCAATGATCATGTGTGAAAACACGTATACATTAGAAATCAAAACTCAGTGTTATGAGAAATTATTTTTACCCCCTTGCATTTCTGTTTACATTGTATGTATGTATGTATGTATATATACAGTCATGGCCAAAAGTTTTGGCAGTGACATCAATTTTGTGTTTTGCAAAGGTTGCTGCTTAAGCTGTTGTGGTGTTCATTCACATTGTTTCTAGATTAATGTGTAGAGTGATCAGATGCATTTTAAATAATTGCTAAAAGCTTCATTGGCCAAAAAAATGAACTTTTTCAACAGCGAAGCATCCTGAGACCATCCATGTGTGGGGTTCAACCAAGGGAGTGGGCTCTCTCATAATTCTGCCCAAAAACACTGCCAGGAATAAAGAATGGTATCAAAACGTCCTGCAAGAGTGATTTCTTCCAACGATCCATGAACAGTTTAGTGAGGATCCGTGCATTTTCCAGCATGATGGAGCACCATGTCACAAAGCAAGAGTGATAGTGGCTCGAAGATCATTAGATTGAAATGTTGGATCCGTGGCCAGGCAACTCCCCGGATCTCAGTCCCATAGAGAATCTGAGGTCAGTACTCAAAAGGCGAGTGGACAAGCAGAAGCCCACAAAGTGTGATCAACTCTGAGAACTAATAAGGCAAGAATGGATAGCCATCAGTCAGGATTTGGCCCAGAAGCTAATATCCCGCATGCCAGAGCCAATGTTTTGTTTTTGCCAATAAAGCCTTTAAAACTTATGATATGCTTATCATTGTTTTTCAGTATACCATAGAAACATAATCTACAAATACTGAAGCAGCAAACTTTGCAAAACAAAATTTATGCCACTGCCAAAACTTTTGGCCATGACTGTACGGTAGCCTTTTTTTTTGGTCATACGCATAAATAAATATCTTTAAACCAAGCATCTTTTAATGTAATGCATGAAATCTGACCACATCAACACACACTGTTCGTCTGCGTCGAAGCAGCAATTTTGAATGTGTTTCGTTTGTATGTGCAGACCCACACATTCTGGCCGTGTTATGGCATCAGTTTTTGCTGTGTTTCTTTATTATGTGTAAGTTTTACCATGTTAAGATGATGAATCCGAATGTGTCTCTAAATGCGCACACATTCTGGTAGTGTTTGAATGTGTAATACTTTTTAAAGCAAATTTATCTCTAGATTTACCCACATGTTAATCCTTTCTTTAATTTACTGCAAATTGCTTTACTGATAACTACTATGTGAACTTAGACTTTTCTACCTGAGAAAGAATTTTGAACTAAATAAAAAAAAAGGACATGAGACTTACATAAGACTGACATCACACACAATGTACCATGCATTATCCCTCATGAACAAATATAACGTCTGATGTTTGCAAACATGCATACCAGTGTACCATTATGACATCCTTCATGAATAAACATGCCGTCTGATGTTTCATTGGCTGCTGTACATGTTGTCATGTGACAGGCTCACATAGTGATAAATTCTCTCTTAAGCTCAAACGTGTCTGTTTTTTGTCCAGTACTGAGTCCTACAGGCTTGCGAGTCCTCTGATTCATTATGTGACAGAAATATGTCAAAATGCCTTGGTGTCTTGCAGGGGCGTGTCTAGCGCATTTTAAATGGGGGGGCCAGTCGGGGGCACTGGCTCTAAAGAGGGTGGCCGGGGGGGGTGTTTCATTGTTCCGCAAACAGTATGTTAAAAGCACACGTCCAGTTTTGTGTGAGTGAAGGAAATCCGCTTGGGAGTGGAGAGATTCATCCTCACGCACATGGATCGCGTAACATTATGCGCTCTCGACATTGTCATTAAGATCACACTATAGAAACCGCCTAAAATGAGAAATTTACTAAAAACAAGCCTATGGCAAGACTTCTGGTAGGGGGGCACCTGGGGTGGCCAGCCAAATTTCAGGGGGGGCCGGTGCCACCCCTGGCCACC